CCTCCCCCCCTCTCCATCTCTCTCTTCTTCCCTCTCTCTCCCCCCTCACACACACACACTACTCAAAAATGATATACAGTTTTTCCTCACTTAACGACCGAGTTCCGTTCCTACGACTAGGTCGTTAAACAAGGAACTGTATACAGTACTGTATTGTATGTACATTACTGTACTGTAGTGTTGGAGATGTGCAGTACTGTAAATCTGTAAATACAGTACTTACCAAAAATAGTAGTGGAGAACGGAGTACAGTACTCTATGCAAGATGAAGATGGTGAGACACCGCACTGCTGCTGCCACGTACCTGCTCATACTGTTGAAATGCTGGTCGTAAGTACGAGCGGTCACTAAACAGGTAGGTCATTAAGTGAGGAATAGCTGTATACAATTCTTTGCAGAGTCTGCTGGGCAGGTTCATGCTTCTATAAGAATTACTTCTTCTAGTTCAGAACTTAGAACTCGGTTGTAGTAATAGAGAAGTAAAGGAGTTCCAGAGAATGCATAAGGTGCTTGAAGTCACAAATGTATCTAAAATCTCAGGTTTTGGTAGTCTGACCGTTTAAATTACTGCTGCAATTTAGTATCGCCAAGTTTTTCGCTTGGTATGTGTGGCATATCTGTTAAATCTCTGTGCATTTAAAAAAAAAAAATCAAACGTATGGACATAAAAGGTGTTCAAGTATATCAGAGGGGTGTTCCTCGTGGTCACTAAGTGGTGGGTCGATGAAAAGCACAGTAAATCTTTCTTGGTGTGTAGGTAGGTGTAAGAAAGATCTACATAGCTGCTTCTGATGAGGTCATGTACGTTGTAGATGGCTTTGCTACTTCTATGACAAGGGCTCTGAGGAATTTAGATATGTGGGCTGTAAAGCTGTACAACCTCTGCAGCCTGTAGGAGGAAGGCATTTTTCCTGAAACATGAACTCCGGAACATATACAAATAGAAACAAGCACATAGCTGTGAATCAGGCTAGTTCCGGTTGAATGAATTTTATTATAACAGAGATGGCCATCATTTCAACCTTGTCAATGAATTTAATCTATTTTGACATATTGCAGAGGAGTTTTCCCAGTTAAAACAAACGAATCTGGAAAATGTGTGTGTTTAGCATTTCCACTAGAGGGCGTCTTGTGTCATTCTCAATATCAGCATAGAGCTTAAATGAGGACTGCACATTCAGTGTATAGGTTGGTTCAGTAAAATAATCTACTCTCCGAGACCTGTATTTATGTTCTGTATCATATTAGGGATTGGTCTTTATTACAGTGTGCATAAAATAAGTTATCACTTACGAAACTTCATTTAGTATAGGTAGAGGGCAAAGAGTACACAGCTTTACCTATGGAAATAATCATATTCCAGGCATGTGCTACATTGCACAGTAGTAGCCTAAGGCATTATGAGGTGGCACAGCTCTCCCTGGGTAAATTATACAATGATGCCTAGGCATATTCACTACTTTCCTACTATTGTATTCATTTATGTTCTATGTACAGCAAAGCCGCCTTTCTCTATTCTTTGTCTCAGGTTTTCCAGTTTAACTGCTACTTGAGCCTCTAATAATTATGTTAAGTAAAACTGCATATATAGATTAATATGAAGTGATGATAAAATTAATGTTTGGGTGTTTTTTAGGCTTCATGGAAATGTGTATTACCTCTTTTTCTACTAACTAACCCCAAATAAGCCCTAACTGAAGTGTATTTAGTTTGCTAAAGCACCATGTATCATAAACAATTGCCATGTTTCCTATCAAATGCTTGTATTCACCCTTTGCACCCTTTGTTGCATCATCTTTGTTGCTGCTGTTTTCCTGCAGCCACTTCCTGTATACATGCATGCACTCCCAGCCATTTCTGAGGGCAGGTTTGTCAATGGTGACAGCCATGGACCATGCCTTCATTATGTGTGCTGAACCTGCCATTTGTAGTCTCAATTGGAAACCTGTGTGACAGGGTGACAATGTAGGAGCACAAATTGGAGACTGTAATAGGCGTGGTCACCCTATAAAAAGAAGTACCTGCACAAGGAACTTTATAGCAGAAACATCAGGTATTATTCTAAAGAAAGCCGCAGATTTAAATATTTATAAATTATATTCAGTTAAATAGATACATATTTAGAAATATTTATATTGACAATTTTAGTTGATACTAAAGTGATACTTTAGATAATATTTTAGTTAGGGATGCACCGATACCGGTATTTTGGTACCGAGTACGAGTTCCGATAATTTGTTTTCGGTACTCGCCGATACCAATTACCGAGTACCGGAAGTCCCATTCAGGAAGTAATGACTCGCCACCTGGCTTCCTGATAAGTCGGGCAGCGTGTAAAGACTCGCCACCCGGCTTCCCGATTAACAAGAAAGTCTGTCCCCTCTTACCTTGGTATGTCCAGCCTGTCACCCCCGGGGCCTCTCCAGCCAGAACGCGGCCTTCCTCCGTTATCCAGACGGAGCCATCTGGCTGGCCAATCGGGAAGCTGGGCGCCATGTAATGACGCAACACCCTGCTTTCTGATTGGCCGGAAGGCCGGCTCCATGCTCCCTCGTCATGAAATGAATGCCGGGCGATGCGTCATTAAACAAACAGAATGCCGGGCGATGCGTCATTACACGGCGCCCGGCTTCCTGATTTGCCAGCTTCCCGGCCAATCAGGAATCCGGGCAGTGCGTCATTACACGCTGCAAGGCTTCCTGATTGGCCGGGAAGTCGGCTCCATGCTCTCTCATCACGAGTGACGAGAGACCATGGAGCCACTTCCCAGCCAATAGGGAAACCGGGCAGCGTGTAATGACGCGCTGCCCGGCTTCCTGATACAGGAAGTACTCGTGCTAGGCATCAGAGCATTTGGGCGAGTACGAGTACTCGCCCAAATACTCGGTATCGGCACTGATACCGATACTGGTATCGGCACTGATACCGATACTAGTATCGGTATCGGTGCATCCCTAATTTTAGTCATGGGGTTTACATACAGTTCAAGTTAAGCTGGCCTTACACTGGTAGTTTTCCAGGAATATTGATACAAACAATCTCATAGAACATTCGATAATGGCATCAGAGACTTGTAGAATGTTGTTTGTCATTTTGTTTGGTTTTAACATTTGGTTTTGAAATTAATGGAACTTCGACCCCGTTGACTGTTAGAAATTCATATGTTGGAGAAAAACATTTCCAGCTGCTTCCTCCATTGATTTTTTTTTCTTCACTACGATAGAAAAGGATTATCAATTTTGATGCCATTAACTATTAAAAAATCTAATGAACGTTCCGAAGACAAATTTTTACATTCAAGAATCTACTGGTGTATGACCAGCCCCACTTCTAGCCACATACACAGTAACAGTTCAACTGCATTATATAGGCATTACGTGATTTATGGATTGGCTACTAGGAGAACGTTCAGTGCTATCATTTTGTTTCTACTAGGGATTGGAATAAAGCAGAATTGCATACCTGATCTCGGCTCCCTCTGGACTTCTAGATCGGTCCCCACAGCCTCTTCTCCCCTGGGCTCTGGAGGTCTAAAGACCATGGCATCTTCACCTCTTATTCAGGTCTGTTTACCTGCATTAGGCGTGAGGATGCCGAGGGACATTCCATAGTGCTGCGGGAGTGGGGATCAGGTAAGTAAAACAGCTTTATTTGAGCCCCTTAAACAAAAAGAGCACTTAACCCTTGCAGTGTGGGGGTAGCCCCACTACAAGGGTAAGTTTTTTTTTATATTTTCCTAGAGTTTTTCTTTAAATTGTAGAATGCATTCCCTTATGTGTGCCAAATTACAGACTCTAATAGATAATACAGTGCAATAAAAGCAAAGCTGGCGTTTGTACCCTCCAACCCACAGCTTAAAAATGGAGTAGGCCCACTTAGCACAATGTCATAATCATTTACTAACTATTCACCTCATTCCGCTGGTGGCCATAAATACATAATCAGACAAAGATTTAAGTAGCATTTTGGGTCGATAGGTTCATTTAAAGCATTTGATTGCAGGTCTGATTTCTTGTATTTCCTATTCTGATGTTGCTAGATCGATCAGTTTCTGGACGCGCCATATGTGTAAATTTAGGGAATCTGACTTCTGCAGTAAAAAACACATAATTTTTAGTTTTTTTTATCGCTCATGATATTGCAACTTTGAGATTCTTAATCACTCTTTTCCTTTTCTCTGCAGCTGTCTAGCTTTTCCGAACAGCTGATAAAAGCTGTACAAGAAGCACACAAGACAAACCCTGTGCCAGGCCGAGCCAATGGAGCCCTAATTCTAAACCAGCCTCTTTCAATTGAGACATATGTTGGCTTGACATCCTTCATTGGGAACCGCAACAAACTTGGTTATTCTCTTGCAAGAGGCAGTGTTGGCTTTTAAGTACATTTAATGTAAAGTTATACATTTCCTTACATCAGAACATTTCTCTGTGCTGCATATTTGTTTATTTTGTTTATTTTTTTTTTATTTTTATTAAAAATAACACCTATTTAATCTTTGCATTTTAAAGTGAACCAGTCAGAATACAAATATGAAAGCCGCCATTGCTGACCTTTTTGAAGGCACAAGCTCATATTTTTAGTACTTACTAACCCAAAAAGGGTATGCATGTTAAAAGGTCTGTTGGATGTGTATTTGGTTTGGGACATTGAATCATTGGGTATTGAACAAGGATAAGGAGAGCAGTACTGGAACTTGCACTAGGCACCTCCTTTGTTCTTGACAAGTACTCTTAATATCAGATGGACTAAACTATAACTACTAAAATTTATACAGCAGTGTATATAATAATCTGTTGACCTGTTTGAGGAATTAGTTTCTAACCCTTTGCACGTACTTTAGTCAGGTATGTTTGCACTGCTCAGCAACTCCAATATTGATATGCAACTCCATAGAGAGACCAAACAATAATGCATATAAGCACATGAATGAATCAGTACCTGATATGTAAACAAGAGATAATTACATTGCTTTCTGTAGGACTATCGGTGAAAGAAGTATCCTGAGTGGTTGATCTGGGTTAGTGCCCCTTATGCATTTGAAGTACACTTTGTATGAAACATATCTTTTATACATACAGAGCCTATAAATGTTAATAAACATATTGATGAATTAATAAAGTTGAACATTTCTATTTACTTGGTATTCCTGTTGCATGTTTTTCTTTATTTTTTTTGTCAATATCACTAAGAGTGTAGTCAATTTTATTGCCATATAACTATTTTATATTCATTTATGTTTCATTTAATCATCTATTTTATTACTGTTTTCTCTCTGACAAAGCTTTAGTTTTCCAAATGGGCTTTGTGCTCCATTATATGGAAATGTTGCTCACCTAATTTTACAGTTAAAGTACACTTTTTAATGACAGAAATAGGGATCAGCCATTTCTGACCTATTTTTAGATACCCAGCATGCAGAACTAATACAAACTATGGCCATGCTACCTAATGAGCCAATAACCTGGATCAGTAATACAGGTTATTGGCTGTAATACAGTAGTTCAGATTTCACTGGGTGCATCCTGTTTTAGGTTGAAGATTGACTAGGTATGGAAGCCAGTATGAAGATGAAAACCCTGGAGCCTGTACCTTTAAAAGCAACCAGCAGTGGCAGTTTCCCAATTGCTATCGTCACAGGTTCACTTTAATACATATTAATCTGAGGCATTCATGATATCTAGTAATGTAGAAGTATTATGCACTATAACATTCATATGCTGTCGTTCCTCTTGCAATGAAAAATCTTTTTGCTTCCAAACTTGTTAAATACCTTAAGTGCTCATATCCTATAAGAATATGCGTGTGGTAGTTAAAAAGCAAAGGGCAGAGAATTTTCTTAATTGGGACGTTTAGCATTTAAGTCCAACAATTGTTGTATATCTCAACTATTTCAAAGTTAAATACATGTTAATTCAATATATACAAACTTGTTTTATAAACCCAAAAAATTACTTTTAATGTGTACATAAATGCAAAACTTTTTTATGTTTTTATTTTGGATAAAATCTGGTTGGTTGGATAAATGTGGTAGGATTTCCCCTTGCATTAAATTTCTCTCACTTCCTGTTGTCTTTGGAACAGGAAGTGAAGGAAAGTTTCACCCACGGGACATAGCAAAAATATACCGACAGCTTTTAAACTTTAACTCTATCCAAAAATAAAACAAAGTTTTGGCCATGTTATATGTAATTGAATATATGTCCTTTTGTATTTACTATTGTATGTATTTCCTATTGTATGCTGTATGCCTCAGGACACTGTTCCCCATTGTGGAATTAAATCACTTTATAGAAATACAAACTTTGTAAAAGTGGAATATGCTCATCTGAACTGTAACTATTCTACCACAAAAATCATATTAATAAAAATCTGCAATTATACAAATGCTGGATCCTATACACATCTTTATAATGTCCGTATGTACATTTTTGTACTCTGTTAGCCTCGCAAACTTTGGTCATTGGGATAATAATCAGTAAAAAAAAAAGTCAATTACTCCAGATTAAACTTGTGCCAACGTGTGATATAGTGTGGTCTATACAATGATGATTCAGATCTTGATCTCAGTAATGTAAAATGTGTATAGGTGGTTTTCTAGTACAATTATATTAATAGTTCTACAAATTGTTGTATGTGATCCCATGGGTCAGATCTGAGTATCATCCTGCTGAACCTGGGTATCTTTAAACGGAAGGGCTTACTTATATCTTGTTTTATATACATGCTTAAAAATGAAATCTTATTAGTGAATTAGAAGTCATAAACATGTAATGGCACATGGCTAAATGTTGGGGCTAACCGGTACAAGCTGATTTAGAAGACAAGGAAATAAAACTGCACATCACCTGGCACACTGGATCACAATTCAGAGTGGTATTGAGCAACAGGGGATTGATGGCTGCAAAAACATCCTACGCCATATGATAATAACAGATTGTAAATGCTCCTTCCTGAATGTAGAAATATTTGAGTAATGTTGATATATACTGATTGATGCAATTCTTTGTTTATTAGGATTATTTCACAGCAAAAATCAGCCCTGCCCTCGGGATCAAATAGCATAATACATATGTAACCCTCAGAGACATTTGGCTGCATAACTACCAATGAGTCATTCGTTACCTGCATTCTAGATTCTAAGAGGCTTTGGTAAATGTAGTTTTGAATGTTTTGTTGTATGTTTCTAATTGTATGTTTAATTAGAAAGTTATATGGGACATAATGCCACAAGCAAATTCTAATTTTCCTATGGCTGTGAATGACAAAATGATTTACTATGTGAGTGTATCTGCCTAGGGGATGGTGTGTGTTGTGTTGTGTAGCCTGACCAGGCCTGCAGCCCAGGAAAAAGCTTGCAGGTGACCAGGGATAGAGGCCCAGTGTTGGGCCCGAAACTGTCCTGCCAGTTAAGGCCGAACCTGGCAGGGAACTTGTGGCTCTCTTGGGAGAACAAAAGTCAAAGTCTGCTAACCAGCTACAGTTTTGTCGCACAAAGTGTCGTGGCATTCGGTTTAAAGGCTCTCTGCACTGTGAAGCTGGAAAGGAGTTGGTGAGTCTGGGTGGCTGTAGCCTTTCTCCCATTTGAACTGCTGGAGAAATAAAAACTGGCATCCAGCTTTCCATTCGCATTCCATAACTGGCTAAGGACTTACCCATGAGGTGAAATTTCAGACCACTCAACATTAGATCTTCAAATAGTGCCTACAGATAACGGTAAAATACTTCAATAACAACCCAAGAACATTTTCCCTTTTTAATTATTTATTCAAAAAAAATATCAGTAGGTGAAATGGTGTACTGTGGAAAAAGTAAGTGCACTCTTGGCCCTAAAAGCTGGTGTTGCCCCCATTAGCAGAAATAACTTCTGAAGTTTTTTAAAGATTTTTCTGGGTTTCTTTGCATGAGCTGCCTGTTTCAAACCCTCCCACAACATTTAAAAGAGAACTTTGGGGTAAGTATGTTCCTCATAGTTCTCTTAAGGGTCACGGGAGGACATATACTCGCGTCCTCCCGTGACCCAAAGCTCATTATATCACGAGCTACAGCTCGTGATATACTGAGATCGCCGCAGCCGGGACGGATCTCGATGAGTGACAGCTGGCTCTGCCTATCTAGAGACAGAGCCAGCTGTGCCCGCTGCTTCCCCTGTCCGTTCCTCCAGTCAGCACGTGAGGAGCGGGGAATCCCTGCAGGGAGATGATAGAGAAGTGAGCGAGCGCCGGTATGTGTTCGCTCACTTCACGATCTATTGAGCCGACGTGACTGTTTCATTGTCACACGCCAGCTCGAACTATGAGGATGAGTGATTTTCACTTGCCTCATAGTTCTCCTTTAATGGTATTTAAATCAAGGCTTTGATTAGGCTAATCCGTAACCCTCCATTTCTTCTTTCCTTGGTGTGCTTTGAATCCGTAACATTTTGAAAGATCTCTTTCCTCTTCAAACTCCACTTTTGCAGATGCCCTTACTTTCTTATCAAGCACACTTTGATATGATGCAGAACTCATAGTTGACTCAATAACTGCAAGCTACCCAGGCCTGAAGCAGTAGAGCAACCCCAAACCATAACATGTAAACTACCATGCTTCACATTTGGTATGAGGTTCTTCACCTGAAATGTTGTCTTCAGTTTTGCGCAAAACTTGCCTGTTACTGTGGCCAATCAATCGATTCATCACACCACAGTACATTGTTACAGGTGGCATTGTCTTTGCCTTCAGTATACAGTATGTTCAATAGAAAACTAGTTTTGCTCTAATGCTGTTTTTGGACAGCTAGCACCTTTTCCTGAGACACCTTCCATACATGTTAAATTGGTGCAGTCTCTTTCTGATTATAGATGCATGCACTTTGACCGTGACTGTTACAAAAATTACCTGCAGATGTGATTGAAATGTTGGGTTTCATAGAGATTTACTTTTAGCTCTCCAGAAAGTTAATTTTAAACAGGAAATGGAAATGATTGCTAGAGTTGATATTAGAATTGGCTGCTACTTCAGTTATACAGTATATATTTTGTGGGAACCTGACAATCAAACCTATATAAACTTAATGGACATCCGATTCCAAAACTATGGGTAATAATCTGGAGTTGGCCTTACCCTTCTGGGAAGGCATTCCACTAGATTTCGGATTGTGTCTACGGTAATTGGTGATCATTGAGGCAAAAAGAGTATTTGTAAGGTCATGTATGCTAATATTGGACTGGAAGACTTGGTTCACAACTGGCTTTCCAGTCCATCCAAAAGGTGTTTAATAGGATTGTGAAAAGCACTCTTTGCAGGAGACTTGTGTTCCTGCACAAGAAACCGGTCAAACCACGTCTTTATGAACCTGACTTTGTAAACAGGGACATAGTTATTTTGTAACAGAAAAGGGTCTTCGCCAAGCTGTTGCCACGTGGTTGGAAGTGCATGATTCATCCACCTTTTAGCCATCAGTTACTAACC